TAGTTTAGTAATTGCATATGGATCGAGGATCAGCTCATTTAGATTGATAATCAAATATTCCTGTTTTCTGGAAAACTTGACAAACAAATCCGAAAAGAATCAGCAGGTGATGACAAGATGGTGTTTTAGGGAGAGGGGGATGTTTTTGGTTATTTTGGTGGTCCTATTTCATAAGTTTTTTCAGAAATGTAATGAAACGTTAAATAAACGCAATGAAGGTGTTTTTGTTAACTGTAAAACTAAACGAACATTTTTCTTTCTTTTCTCGTAGGTATGCGTAGAAAGTTGCGCTGAATCGAGTGATGTGAGTGAAGTGGAGGGCTATAATTTCAATTTTCTTCAGTCTTTTCCTTTTGTTTTAGTAAGTTGAAAGTTTCAATATATATGTTACATTCCAGGAATGGTTTGATGCCTGCCAAGAATGCATTGTGACAGAGGATGAAGTGTTTGAGGTACGCAACTATTTTTGCTAGTCAGCTTTCCTTTTACTCTATCCTTTTCTTTTCAACTATATTTTCTTATGGTTTCTGTCTCATTTCATTTTTCAGGAATGGTTTGATGCATGTCAAGAATGCATTGTGACTGAGGAAGAGGTTTATGATGAGGTGAGCCAGAATCACTAGACTTTTTTTTACTAGTCTCTGCGTTTTTTCTGTTTTCCTTTCTTTTCAAGTATCTCGTTGGTTTCATTTTCTGATTCATTTTTATTTCATTTTCCAGGAATGGTTTCATGCATGTCAAGAATGCCATAATGTGACTGGGGATGACGTCGACTTTGAGGTACGCGCGCCGAAATCAACTTTTTCGCTAGTCTTTCTTTTTTCCTGTTTTATTTTCTTTCTTTCCAAGTGTTCTGATGGTTCATTTTATTTTCCAGGAATGGTTTGACGCCCGTCAAGAATGCAGTAGTGTGACTGAGGCGGGTGTTTTTATGGTACGCTAAAATAAGATTTCACTGCTGTTTTCTGTTCTTTTTATTTTTTATTTTTCTTGCTCTTCAAGTGTTTTGGGTTTTACCTTATTCTAATGCCGTGTTATTTTTCCAGGTCTCTGACGAGTCGCCCAGTGCAGATGAAAGTGAAGGCGTAGCTATCGCGGTAAACTAAAATCAACTTTTCTTTTAAATCATTTCAAGGCTCTCTCTTGTTTAATTCGTATCTAATGCATCCCCCCCCCCCCTCCTCAGTCCTTTTAGCGAAAATTTCTCGAATCCATGTCGAATATTACTCTAGATAATATTGCTTTATTTTATCTAGTTTGCCGACTTTAGTTTGGAAGAAACGAAAGACTTTATGGACATGACAACAATATTTCTTTTACCGTAAGTAGTAAAGCGGTAAAGTGCTCATATCAATTGCGCATGTAGCTAAACCATGTGGGAGGAAGCGGTAAAGTGCTCACATCAGTTGCGCATGTAGCTAAACCATGTGGGAGGAAGCGGTAAAGTGTTCATATCAATTGCGCATGTAGCTAAACCATGTGGGATCACTGAAAGTGTATGCGAATAATTGTGCCTGAATCATAAACTATCCCATGTGGGAATCAACAAGGAGGGGTATATAAGAAAAAAGGTTGTGTATGATGGAAAGTAATGAAACAAGAACAATGAAAATATTTTTTACAGCTTGCCAGAGAAAAAAAACGAAAATCCCGCCAGAAAACGTGAAAAGCAAAGCAAGAAAGACAAGAAACATCTAGTTAGAGGTACGAATGATGAGGAATGAAATCACTAAGAAATATTGGACAGAATCGAACTTTATTTTGATAATTCAATAAGAATTCATCAACAAAGCCAGTCTAGTCTGAAAATCAAATAAATTTGTAAGAAATAAATATTTTATTAAAAAATGTAAAAAGAATTAACCTCACGTATATTAATGTTAACAGACGAGCCTGGCTTGGTACTGGCTTTTGACATGGACGACACAAGTGACGAGACGGTACTGGACACGGTGCTGGTGAGTATTACTGTGATGGATAACAGTTGGTTAACCTGACCTGCTTGGTGGTGTAAGGGCACTGGAGACTAGGAGAAGAAGGGGCATACCGGAGAGAGGTAGGGTAGGGGTGTTTTTGCGGTCATAACACTTTTCCAACCCAGGCAGGATACAATGTGTATCCTTGGATCGAGGAGATCATGATATTCAGGAATGATAAAGATAAATATCTCTAGTGAATAACCCATGGAGATGATACCGTGCTGTGGCTCGAGCTCTGTCGTCAGGGGAAGAAAAGAAAACTTCTAAACTAACTCATACTTGTTATCTTTTAGTTTGGTAATTTTTCGTTGGAAGAAACCGAGACCTTAAAGGAGACAAAAACAGCCGAAACAGCGTGAGTAATGAGAATAGAAATGGAAATGGAAATGGAAATGGAAATAAAACGGGAATTGAAATAGAAATGGGAATAAGAATGGGAAATTGGATGTAATACATGACATCGTTACATTGTGCAAGTGTGAAAGAAGTGAGAGTGAACTAAAGATCATCAAGAGTAAATTTAGTATATATATAAGGCAAATTAGCTCCTTAATAAAATACTTCATTAAATCTCTGTTTCCTGCAGCGCGTCAAACCAGGAAGAAAATTTAAAGACCGAGAAAAAAGTCGAAGAAAAAAGAGATGAAAACGAAGAACTGGTGAAAGGTGAGGATTATTTTGAAATCTTTAAGAATGTGATTATGAATAAGATAACAAAATATTGATTGTAAGGGATTTATTTATGACGTTTGTGTGTTTTTGTGTCTTGAAGAAGCGAACATCAACACGTTTAAAACTGATCTACAAATAAGCAGCCAGAGCAGGAACAAGACTCCTTCAGACAGAGAACTGCAGGTAAGGAAGACTGGCCTGAGATCAAGTATAAGTAGGTTTTATATAAATAGGATGTTTTATCTTGCTTGCAGAGATGGGAACCCGTTGAGGATGACGAAGCAGCAGAGCTAGAATGTCTAGAGAAGGATGATGAAAACTTGAAGGTGCGTGTCAGTAACATCGATATTGATCATCCATCGGTACCCAGTGATTGTGGATGGGTGGAGTGAGCACTGAAGGAATTACCACAGGGTACCCAATGATTCTGGATGCGTGGAGTGAGCACTGAAGGAATTACCACAGGGTACCCAATGATNGGGTACCCAATGATTCTGGATGCGTGGAGTGAGCACTGAAGGAATTACCACAGGGTACCCAATGATTCTGGATGCGTGGAGTGAGCACTGAAGGAGTTACCACAGGGTACCCAATGATTCTGAATGCGTGGAGTGAGCACTGAAGGGGTTTCCCACAGGGTACCCAGTGATTCTGAATGCGTGGAGTGAACACTGAAGGGGATTACCACAGGGTACTCAGTGATTCTGGATATGATTATGGTCAATGTTTTTTCTTTTAGGACCAAACCATCCTTTCACCAGAAAAAATGTATAAATTAAACCCGGATGTAAAATCTACTTTTTTGGAAGATCTAAGTCAATATACGTAAGTATTATAGATATAATATTAAGATTATTATGATTATCACAGCATTATTAGTTCTGATAGATATTAATAATCTGTTGTGTTGTCTTGACTTCAGTACAAAACTTGATATGTCAACATTATCTAGAGAACAAATCGAGTTTGCTGAAGAGATGGCCAACGAAATCATGAAAGTAAGTCCAATAACTGACCAATGACACTGATGTATGGATGGTTCACGCCATTTCCTAATTAGTGCATGTCATAATCAAGCAGTCGCAGACGAAACCAGAAATGACATCACTGTACGTGCGATCCAGTGCCCCGTCGATGGGGGGTGTGTTGGGTTAGACCTGAACTGAAATTTGTTTTGTTTTGATTATTCAGGAAAACAAACAGAGAAAAAACAAACAGAGGAGGAAAAATTCCAAAAGAAATCATAAGCACTACTGAGCTGCTTGACTGTGAAGATCCAGGGTGACAAGGGCGAGTGCACGTGGGTGCACGTCACATAGTCAATAACAGCTTCAATGCAAATTTACGATAATCAAAAGGGATGAAACGAAATTAATTGCAATTACTGAGAACTGATTGTCTGGGAGTTCCCAGGCTTACAAGGGTGGGATGGGAGGGAGGGGAGTCTTGTTCCAAATCTTGATTTACATACGTGACATTGAAAGAGTAAAGTCTTGCGAAGGCGGTATTACGTCATGTGTCACATGTTCAATAACAGCTTTAATGCAAATGCATAATAATCGAAAAGAATGACATGAAACGAAATCAAAGCTACTGAAAACTGATTGTCTGTGTGGACCCAGAGTGACAAGGGCGGGAGGGTGGTGCATGATCAAGAGTCTTTCTGGGTCCACAAGGGCGGGAGCCATCACATTACCATTCATGTACCTTGTCATGATCAGTTGGCCTTGACAGGATTTGTCCACCTTTAAAAAAGACTTTTTTACTGTAAGCATAGTTGAATTTCTGTAACTTTGATATTCTATGTTATTAAACTCTGTTTTATCCAGGTGCTGTCGGTATGATTTATGGCCGCTTTAGACGGTACGATTTTCGCCTACAACTATCGTATACAACACGCTTGCGTCTGTCGTAGGCGAGTTGTAGGCTTGATAATACACGCTACGACTCGAGTTGTAGGATGGCGCGAGCGTGTTTTGTACACGATAGTTGTATGCGAAAATCGTACCGTCTAAACCGGCCTTAAGGATGCTCAGCGATCCTTGTACTGATTATAGTGGTTTCATTCATGTTTAGTCATGTTGCAAAGCAAAACAATAGGAATTTTCTTTTTTGAGAAATGAAATCTCTAATGCGTGGCTAACAAATTTATACCATGATTGTTCCCATCGTTTTATTCCATCGAAAAAAAAAGAAAGTAGATTGAGGACCACAGAGCCCTTGAGGACAGGGGAGGGAGAGGAGAGGAGAAGGGGGAAAGGAGAGGGAGGGGAGGGGGGGAGAAGGGGAGGAGGGTTGTAATAAAACTGATTATGGGAGGAATGTTGTCAAAACTTATTATTCTCAAAATTTGTAAAAAAGAACTCATTTATTCAGGGTTGTCCTCATTTAAAAAAATAGTATTTTGATTTCAAGTACTCTTATTTGTTTTCCTGGAGAAACTTCTTTATCCCTTCCCAGTTGAAGGGAATGAAAATACAAATTAAAAGTGAGAACTATTTTTTTAATTAAATCAAATAGTTGTTTATAGGTTGTGTTTAAATTCATGGTTATGACAAATTGTTTCTTTTTGTTGTTCGCTCTATGCTTTTGTCTTGTGTTTTTCTTATTTTGATGACCCTGTAGGTGAAAGCTCTTTGCAAAACAAAATAATGTAATAAAATCAGAAAGCTGAAAAAGCAATTTCTTATAACCATGAACTTTATTTTTGGTAGATTTACAAAATTATAATAAAAATTTCAGACGTTATAGATTCCTATGTGTTTAAACAAGGAATTATCTTATCCTGAAGGTGATAAATGTGGAGAGACATCTACACATGACTAGCTAAAATCTAAGAGAGTGTAAACATGAAAGGGTTACAAAGAACTAATCAGTGCAAAAAGGCTGTACTATTTGAACAATAGGAGGGTGTACAACGACTTTGTACAGTGACAAAACCTATAGTAAAAATGTTTGGCACATTACGATGGCAATGTCTATAAACATTTTGTCCATAGGAAACAAAGGAATTTGTACTGTTTTGCACTTTTTTAGTTTTTTGTAATTTTTCACGTGTATATTGTGTGTATACGCCCAGTAAGGCAGGTCATAATTACAAAATTGTATCATTCTAATAGTGAGTGCAGACCATATATCTGTGAAATAACACACAAACTAAATAGCACTAAACACATCACTATTTCTTTTGTTTTCATTTGTTTCATTGGTGCTTTTTTGTACTAATTAGTTAGTACTATTTCATGGATACCTGCATACCATATGTGTGAAAAAAATTGTACAAAACATTGCACAAATTTGCACAAATTTGTAAGTTCAGTAGACCATAGACCTACAAAACTGTGCACTTATTTGTACAGGCTGCTTTGTTAGTCGCACTTTTCACGGATACAGGTATGCACTCTATATGGTTTGCAGTTTATTTAGTTCCTAGTTCCTATTCTATTTATAATCATTTTGTATTATATGTTGGGAATTTTGCTGTTTCCATGACTTCTTCCACCTTCCAAGATGGATACAAGCCCGTCTGTCCTGTCCTATGATTGGTCCCTTTGGAGTAGCCATCCCAGTGATTGCCGGCAATGCCAACCAGATCTCCTACTTCTAAGTCAATCTCGTCACCATTTTGAGCCTTGTGAGGTACAACAGCTCGCACATTGTGTCCAGATTGGCCACCAAAGTAGTAGATATCATCAAGAGATTGAAAGAACCTGGAAGCATCTGGATGTTTGGACTGCATTATTTCATATCCTAAGCGACAAACCTGTCAAAAAAAGATAATTTAAAACGAACAGTTAAAAATCAACTCTGGAATTGCCCTACTTCACTATGACGTCAAATCAAAACAATCTTTTACAATCTATTGTTTAAACGAAAGGATCATGGTCGTCCGAGGGGGTCAAATCAACACAAATTCACCAAAAATTGTTCTAAAACCTGTATCAATCCACGAAGAGAAGTGGAATAACCAGCAAATGCTCAGAATATTTTTAGTACATATTAACACATATAATATCTGAAAACCAGGCCATTTTAGATTAAACTGTTCCATTAGGAGCAAATTTTGTTGAATTTTCTATTGGATTTGGCGATTCTATCCCCCACATAAGCAAGCAGTGACGTCATAGTGAAATAGGGCAATTTCAATTTGACTTAAGAAACAATGTGTAGTTCCAGAAAATATCCATACCCCACCCACAGAGAAAATTGGAAATTCTGGAGGGAGAGGGGTCAGAGAAGAAAAAAATTACAGAGTTTGTAGAAACGAAAATTGGAAGTTCCTTGGGATAGGGGGGTCCTTTTAGGAATTCCCTCTGTGGTGGGGGTGTGGATATTTTCTGGAACTACACAATTGGTTTTGTATCGGGGGTTGTGGGAGAGGGGGGGGGATGCAGAAGGATTTGCTTTTTAACCTATATGAGAAATCTTTGTTGTTGAACAAAAAGTGGCCCCTCCCTTAATTTCCATTCTGTTTATTGACAAACAGATTTTTTGTGTGGTACCCTTTTGAGCCTGATGTTTTTAATGACTCCCTACTCCCCCCCC